TTCAAAAGCAGCAGCAGCAGCAGCAGCAGAAGCAGCATAGAAGATGCGGCTGCAGCAACGGCAGCAGCAACTGCTTGGAATGTTTCACCTGATCCACCTGCAGCAGCAGCAGCAGGAACAGCAGCAGCAGCAGCAGCACCAACAGCAACAGCAGCAGCAGGAAGCATTGAGGTTGCAAGCTGTTCGCGTTATTGTGCTGCAGCTGCCACATCGGAGGCCCTTCTCTTTTGCTTCAGATACACCAGATTCTTTCTTACAGAGTGATGCTGCTGCTGCTGCTGCTGTTTCTGCTGCTGCTGCTGTTGCTGTTGCTGCTGCTGTTGCTGTTGCTGTTGCTGTTGCTGCTGCTGCTGCTCCTGTTGCTGTTGCTGCTGTTGCTGCTGCTGCTGCTGTTGCTGTTGCTGCTGCTGTTGCTGTTGCTGCTGCTGTTGCTGTTGCTGTTGCTGTTGCTGCTGCTGCTGCTCCTGTTGCTGTTGCTGCTGCTGCTGCTCCTGTTGCTGTTGCTTCTGTTGCGCTCGCTGCTGTTGCTGCAACTTTTATGGCGTTGCTGCACCTGTTGTTGCTGCTGCGGTTGCTGCACCTGTTGTTGCTGCTGCGGTTGTTGCTGCTGTTGGTGCTGCTGCCGGTGTTGCTGCTGCTCTTGTTGCTGCCGCTGCGTTTGTTGCTGCCGCTGGAGTTGTTGCTGCTGCTGCTAGTGCTGCTGCTACAGCTGCTGCTGCTGCTGCTGGTAGGGTTGGTGCTTCCGTTGTTTGCTTCTTCTGCGGCTGCCGAGGTTGCTGCTGCTGTTGCTGCTGCTCTTCCTATTGCATCCCTCATTCTGTTTGTTTTGCTGCTTCTGCTGCTGCTTCTGCTGCTGCCGCTGCTTTTGCTGCCTTTGCGCTGCTGCGTCTGCTTCTGGCTTTGCTGCTGCTGCTGCTGCTGCTGCTGCTGCTGCGTGGTTGTGCTTCAGGTCGTCTGGAAATGAGTTTAGAGTTGTGGGGTTTGATGTTGATGTTTCTCCTTCTTTGCTGCTGCATGCAGTGCAGCAGCACGGATTGTGCTGCTGTTTGGTGCAGCAGCGGCAGCAGCTATTTGGTGCATGCACGTTGCAGTTTCCTGCTGCTTCGTTTATATCTTTGCTGCTTGGCGAGGTGCTGCAGCCCTTTTATTTGTTCCAAATTGCTGCTATTGCTCTGTGGCTGTTAGACGAATACTTTTTCTATGCTATTATTGTCTCCTCGCTTACTGCTGCATCCACGCTTGCAGATGTACTGACGCAAAGGTAGGCCCTTACTCCTGCTGCTGCTGCTGATGCTGCTGATGCTGCTGATGGTGCTGCTGGTGCCGATGCTGCTGATGCTGCTGCTGGTGCTGATGCTGCTGCTGATGCTGATGTTGCTGGTGCTGCTGATGCTGCTGATTATGGAGATGCTGTTGACGCTGGATGTGCTACTGCTGCTGCTTCTTCTGCTGCTGCATGCGCTGTTGCTGCTGCTGCTGCTGCTGCTGCTGCTGTGTTTAAAGGCAGCAGATGCAGCGGATAAAGGAGGTGACGGAGAGCGTCTCGATGGTGGAAGTGTTGGGGCGCAGATCCTGCAGCAGCAGCTGCTGCTGCAGCAGCAGCTGCTGCAGCAGCAGCAGCAGTAGCAGCATCAGCAGCAGCATCAGCAGCAGCTGTCTCGAGAAAGTAGCAATATCATCTGACTGTCTAACAAATGGAGATTTGCTGCTGCTGAAGCCAGGCATGCGGGTCCCGTGCGATTTGCTGCTGCTCGAAGGAACGGTAAGAATGCTGCTGCTGCTGCTGCTGCTGTTGCTGCTGCTGCTGCTGCTGCAGTGCAGCTCCCTTCGTTGCATCCAGTGCACCATTATCAGCACCAACAGCAGCAAAAGCACGAACAGCAGCAGCAACAGCATCATGATAAGCAGCAACAGCAACAGCATCAACAGCAACAGCATCAGAAGCAACAGCAGCAGCAGCAGCAGCAGCAGCAGGATGAAGGATATGTGTTCGGGTGTCTCTGCAGGTTGTGCTCGATGAACGAAGCTTAACAGGAGAGTGTTTCTCGGTCTTGAAGTCGCCTTTGCCGCTAACCACTGAAACAAATAAATCTATTTCTTTAGAACAGGTGCAGCAGCAGCAACACCAGCAGCAGCAGCAGCAACACCAGCAGCAGCAGCAGCTGCAGCAGTGGCTGCAGCAGTAGCAGCAGTTGCTGATGCAGCAGTGGCTGTAGCAGTAGCAGCAGCAGCAGTTGCTGCTGCAGCAGTGCCTCCAGCAGTAGCTGCAGCAGCAGCAGCTGGGTGTTTGTGTCTGTTTTGCTGCTGCTGCTGCTGCTGCTGCTGCTGTTTTTTGTGTGTCTCGTTTTGCTGCTGTCTCCTTCGTCTTTTTCTTTTTCTGTTTGCTTTTTTATTTTTTGTTTTGTTTTACATTTTATGTTTGCTGCGTCTAATGCATCTCGGCCTCCTATTTGCTGCTGCTGCTGCTGGTGCTGGTGCTGCTGCTGCTGGTGCTGCTGCTGCTACTTTTGCTGTTCTTCATCTGCTTTCACCTGATTTGCTGCTGCTCTGCTGCATCTGGCGCTGCTGTTTTCGCCTATTTGCTGTTCGTGATTCTTCATTTGCTGCTGCTCCTGCTGCTCCTGCTGCTGCTGCTGCTGCTACTCATGCTGCTGCTGCTACTCATGCTGCTGCTGCTGCTGCTGCTGCAGGAGAGAAATCATTTGGTGTTTGCTGGCACTGAAGTTTTGGCTTCGATGTGCGGAGGGGAAGCAGCAAAAGACGGCAGCAGTGAGAGTTAAAGAAATAAAAAATAAAATATAAAATATAAATATTATTTATTTATTTATTTATTTATTTATTTATTTTATTACAAGACAAATTTATTTATTTTATACTCTCAGTGATTGCTTTGCCTATTACACAGAGGAATAGAGGGGCTGTGCAATAATCTCATCAACGCGCTGCTGCTGCTGCTGCTGCTGCTGCTGTATCTGCTGCTGCTGCTGTATCTGCTGCTGCTGCTGCTGTATCTGCTGCTGCTGCTGTATCTGCCATTGCTTCTGGTTGTGTTATTGTTGCTGTTGCTATTCCTGTTCCTGCTGCTGCTCCTGTTCCCGCATCTCCCCCTGCTGTATCTGCTGCTGCTGCTGCTACTGCTGCTGCTGCTGCTGCTGCTGTTGCTGCTGCAGCAAGCAACAACAGGTTTGCTGTTGGTATGGTTTGCCGCGTTGGGTTTGCAACGGCTCAAGGAGACACAGTCAGGCCTCTGCTCTTCCCCTCACCTCCTAGGGTTGACTTCGATAGAGGTAACTGCAGCAGCAGCAGCAGCAGCAGCAAAAGCAGCAGCAAAAGCAGCAGCAGCAGCAAAGGCAGCAGAGTAGAAGCAGCAGCAGCGGCAGCGGAAACAGCAGAGGCAGATGTAGCAGAGGCAACAGAGTCGCAGCAGCAGCAGCAGCAGCAAGAGCAGCAGCAGCAAAGTGAAAAGGACTGCAGCAGCAGAGCATTCAACAATACACATCGCCGCTTCTTTTTGTGTGTTTTGCTGCTGCTTCTTTTGCTGCTGCTGCTGTTGCTGCTTCTGCTTCTGCTGCGGTTACTTCTGCTGCTGCTTTGGCTGTTCTTGCTGCTGCTGCTGCTGTTGCTGCTGCTGCTGCTGCTGCTGGTGTGTATGTGTGTGGGGTGTTCAGAGGCGTTATCGTTTTTGTTTTGTTTGGGGATGCTAGCTTTAATTGCTGCTGTTTATACTTCAATATTATTTTATAACAGAGGTGTATCGCTAAAGAAAGCTGTATTTCTTGTTGCAGACCTAGCAACAGATGCGGTGCCTCCAGCTCTAAGAGCAACGCTCTCTGTTTCTCTTACTGCTGCTGCTGCTAGGTACCCTATCCCTGCTGCTCCTGCTGCTGCTGCTGCTGCTGCTGCTGCTGCGGATGATGATGATGATGATGATGCTGCTGCTGCTGCAGATGATGATGATGATGATGATGCTGCTGCTGCTGCGGATGACGATGATTATGCTGCTGCTGTTGTTGTGGTGGTGCGGTTCTGGTGGTGGTCGTGCTGCTGCTGCTGCGGATGCTGCTGCTAGTGCTGCTGATGCTGCTGATGCTGCTGCTGCTGTTGCTGCTGTTGCTGCTGCTGCTGTTCTGGTGCTGTCCTGGTGCTGCTACTGCTGTTTCGCTTACTGTTGCTACTGTTGTTGTTGCTGCTGCTGCTGCTTGTATTGCTGCTTGTATTGTTACTTGTACTGGTGGTGGCGATGCTGATGCTGCTGCTGCTGCTGCTGTTGCTGCTGCTGCTTGTACTGTTGCTTGTACTGCTGCTGTGGCTGCTTTTCCTGCTGTTCCATGTTATAATATGTTCATTGTACTGTTGCTGCTGCTGCTATTGTTGCTGCTTTTCCTGCTGCTCCTTCTTATAATATGCTCATTGTACTGTTGCTGTTGTTGCTGCTGCTGCTGCTGCTGCTGCTGTTTGTTAGGATATGTTCAGTGTATGGAATATCTGCAGTGTCTGCGAGTTGTTTAAATTTGTGCGGCTTTGTGCGGTGTATTTGCTTCGATAAGACGGGGACCTTAACAGACAATGGTGTGTCTCTACTAGGCTGTCTTGCTGCTTGCCACTGCAGCAGCAGCAGCAGCAGCAGCAGCAGCAGCAGCAGCAGCAGCGGCAGCAGCAGCAGCGGGGAGAAGAGCTGCAGCTGCTGTGAAGATGTGAAAAATAGAAACAGCAAAAACCACGAAACACATAAATATGATAGTGATGCTGCTGCAGCAGCAGCAGCAGCATCAGAAGCACCATCAGAAGCAGCAGCAACAAGAGCAGCAACAGCAACAGCTCATCTTGGAGATTCGCTGGTGCTTCCGTCGGCGCTGCAGCCATGCAGCAGTAGCTGCTGCTGCTGCTGCAGCTGCCGCATGCATTTGCTGCGGTGTTTGTCTTGCTGCTCTTCTCTTGCAAATGTTAAGGGGGAGATTGCTGGAGACCCTCTTGAGGTTTGTTTGTTAGCTGCTTCGGGC